CATAAAACATAAAATTGCACACATAATGGGGTTCTGTGTGCCATTTTGATACATGTATACATTTTGTATATTTAAATCAAGCTAAATATATCTATCATTTGTTTATGGTAAAAAGATTCAGAAGATGTACTTTATAGATTAAAACTATAGATAGATTAAACATATAATAAGCACAGGTGTTTTTGTAAGTACATACTACCTTAATACTTTTTAAAGAAAAACTCAAAAGCTTGTGAACTATTTTAAATCGATGTTAAGAACTTCTAAAAACAATGGGTAAGAATTGGTCATAATACCTCAATTATTTATGAAAACACATGTGCAAATGCCCTAGTGACTGATACATAGTTGGTAAAGTTAACTGCAAGTAGTATTAGTTATTGTTAGTGAATCATATTATCTTGAGAAAAGAGATGTGTCACACCCCTAGACTTAAGGTGATTTCATAATGAACTAAAAGTTCATTTTGGATTAATTAAAAAGTGTTTCTTGTTGTATTTGAATGCTCTGTGCAGTAATAACGACATCCTGAGCTCTTTGCAGATTACAGTTAACATGATTTTTTTCTGTCTTCCTCCAATTCATATTTCTGCTGAGAATGGCATGTTTTCCTTTTCTAAATTGCCTTTTTAAGTTTTACACATATTCTGTTACCGAGGTCATTTTTAAAATAGATAACATGTTTAGCAAGGACCAAAAGGGAGCTATGGATAGGGAATGCTGCAGTTGCTGAATCTCAGGCACTGGGTGCTTCGCCCATGCAAGCTGCTCACGCTTGCATTCCACATCATCAACAGCCCATTGCGGTGGCCACACCCCCTGTAGTTGAAGTCACAGCTGTGGCCTTGAAGAAATGGATCATGGCACTCCTCCCCAGTCACTTGTTTTAGTATTTAATAATGATGAAAGAGATTCTTTCTTTTAATTATGTTTGATATGATAATACCACATTCACTGATATTTATGTGTGGTGATATCAAATTCTTAGAATCATTTTTATTTCCAAGACAAACAAAAATAGATTTTATTGTGTATATCATTATTTAGACTATTCTTGCCTTCTTGAATTTTAGCCCGTGAAATCTTTTCTAGTTCCATAAGGTAAAATTAAATAATTTGTATTTTGTAATTGTCTGTCTCATGCTAATATACCCAGATCCCTCAGGGGGGGCAGGGGTCATAGATAGCTTCCTGTAAATCTGCAATTGTTTTTCTCAATTTAAAATACATTTTTAAAAGGATCACTGGGCAGTGCTCTTATTTCTTGATTTCTGTCTAACTTTTGGGGACAGTTTTTGTTTCTTCTGTGTTCATCTCATTTATTTTAGATCCATAAAATATTCATTGATCTTAAAAAATTCATGTTTAGCATAGTTTATGCACTAGTCACTGAAGAAAAAGCATGGAGTTTTGTTCTTCTTACTACATTAAACTTCTTACTGCTATATCCTGCTCACTTGGATTGTATTTATATCTTTATACACCAGCAAAAGACAAAGTCTCTGATAGAGGGAAATAAGCAATAAACAAAAGTTTTATAGTCTAGTATCTCAGAGGTGATAAGTATAATTTAAAAATAGAATGCTGGGTTAAAGATGGAGCAGGGCTACTGTAGCTATAAAGACATCCTTTATCAGGATAACCTCAAAACAGGGACTCATGAAGTGAGGGCATGAGCAGCTGAGATCTTGGGCTGATAGATTTTCAAATAGAGGAAACAGTAAATGTCAGAGCCCTAAAGTGGGAACCCTCTGAATATATCCAAAAAAGCACAAGGAAGTTACTATGCCCAGAGCATCGTGAGTAAAACGAACAGGAGATGAGGTCTGAGTTTTGAAGGATACCTGTGAACAGAAGAGAGGAGATGTGATTTGTGGTTGGCACGGATCCTGCTGATTGCATGTGGGAAATAGCAAAAGGGTGGAGATCGGTGACTTTGAACTTTTGAATGATGGCCATCTCAGCCCCAGCAGGAAATATGTTTTATGTCAATGCTCAAATCCCCTTTATTTTTCTTTCACTTGCTTGCATGCTATGTTTCCTCTGACTTCGCAGGATTTCCTTTGGGCCCACTTAATAGAGGAGAATTTCTGTGCTAACTTGAATATAATAGAAGGATTCTTGGCAACTTATTGCCTAAGAAATGTGACCCAAGTGACACATTATCATCATAGTGAGCTGGAGACTGAGATGCCATTGCCAGAGGCTCAGTGCACATGAACCTTGCCTGTGGGCGTACATCAAGACTAGAGTAGCATTAAGAACTGTCGTGGAACCACATTTCAATCCACTGGTAGCTTCAGGTATAGGGACAAGTAACGCACATCTCACATCCTTAATCTTGACAGCCCCACCTGGCAGACTGGTTCCAGGAAGAGAGTGGTATAGGGGTGTGGTGAGCCCTGAATGCCTCCACAGTGATTGGCTCACTGAAGCTAGAGGGCATCCCAGTGTAGCAACTGCATATATACCACAGACTTCCTCTGTTAGGTGAGCCAGGTGTAAAAAGTTTAGTGTAAAAAGTTTAATAAGGCTAGGCGTGGTCAAGCATACCTGCAATCCCACTACTAGGAAGGCAGAGGCTCCTAGTCCGGAGGGCTGTCTCAAAAGAAAAAAGAAAAAAAAAAGTTTTGTAAGAAATCCTAAATTGAAAACATGCCATAAGACCTTCACTGTCCAGAATTCTTTAAGAGGTTGTTTGGAGCTATTGTTCTAGTAGTAAATTGCAAAGAATGAAAAATGCGGATCTGTAATATATGGTCCTTTCAGACAGACTAAAGATTTGATACCAAGAATAGATTTGGTCTTTTTTTCCCTATAAATAATGTTGTTTGTAGATGATGTAGAAGGATGAGGTTGATAGCCAGAGCATAGAAACTGCACAGTGTAACAAAACCTCTTTAGAGTCTAGTTTAACTAAGACTTTTGTCACCACAAAATATTGTACCATGTTTTGCTTTGACAGGCATTACATTGAAGGTGATATTACTAAGTTTTACAGAAGGGTTTGGGCACTATTGTTAAATCTGTGCAAATGCCCCTGCAGTTTTGTCTTGCTGTGGCCATTAACCTAAACAGATAAATATTTCTGAAAACATTTGTTAAATATTAAATACCACGTAACTCTAATAGGATTTAAATTACATGTGGGTATATGTATACAGTGATGTTAATATTAACACAGATATACATACAATGGTGTCCAATATTTAAACCATCGTAATTATTGAATAACAACACAGTAAATGGGGTTTTTTTTTAAGCTTTTCTAGAGCATTTTTATTTTCAAATGTTACAATATTAGATTTCGAATGCTGATTTCCACTCCCTGTCGAGGGAAAATAATGTGATATTTTCAACAGGAAAAACTTTGAGAATTAACTTTTTACCAACCACTTAGTAGTAGGGAGGCTTTACATGTTTCAGGAGCTTACTATGCCTTTCTTCCCTCAAACCAGTGTGCAAGGATAGTCCCCTTCCTGAACACGGCAAAACCAGCAAGACAATCTAAATTACTTTGTGTCTTCTGTGTGACTGGAAAATGAAGCTCTGATCTTCCACTGAAGCAGAAAGAGTTGCCCATAAAAGAGGCTTAAAGATGGGACAAAACCAATCATTTCATCATTTGGTTATAGATAACAAACAGAAGTTTTAAAACATAGCAGTTTGTTTTCCAAATTCATGAACTAAGTATAAATATTATAATGTTTATTAATGCCAAAGAGGTCTCTCAGAGTGTCCTGCTCACACCTTCAGGTTTGTTTCTCTTGGCCTCTCTTTCTAGAATTTCAGAAATGGTATCCCACACCCCAGTAGTTTTTTACTGTATATCTACCTCAAGAAAGCATTAAAGAAATGGCATTTTCCTCTGTCATGTTTTACCTTCCCCCTCCCTTTAAAAAAGATACTAATAGAAAACTTAGCGTATCATGAGGAACCAGGAGCCAACAATGAACAAAGAATCATAAATTCTTGATGCAAATCTTCATAAATGTTTAGGGACCGCCACTTGTTCACCTGATCAACTCACACTGAGATCACAGGAGTAAATAATGAGAAGTATACTTACAACTCTGGGGCTGAGGGTGAGGCTCAAGTGGTAGAGCGCCTGCCTGTCAAGCGCAAGGCCCTGAGTTCAAATCCTAGTACTAGAAAAAAAAAAGTAAAAATAAAACTCTTTGCAGCTATGAAGTCATATGGGATTTACACTTATAATAATTTTGTTCTTAAATCCAGACCTTAGCCATATGGATATGAAATCAGTATGACAGAGCATAGATCAGGACTTCAAATACTTAATCCATCAGGAGAACTAATCTAGAAAAAAGAAAAATAAGTAATAAATCAACCTTTTATAACCTTTTAACCTCCCTGTTTTTATGCAATGCAAAATAAATACCAAATATGCTTATTCGTATGGCAGTAGCCTCTCAGTATTTAGATAAACTGATAAGTGGAAGAAATCTAGGGAATTTGCAGGACAACTTTTTTCTAATTTCATTCTAACTTGCTGAGAAGAACTTAGGTATGATCTTTGTGTGGCCTCTTGAGATGCTCTGTTAGAAAGTATATCTCACTGCTCAATGCCATAATAAGCCATGAGAACATACTTAAGTCAAGTAGCAAGCCTTTTCAAAATCTTTCTCATTTCTCTTCAGCTAGAAATGTTTGCATAAGTCGTTGCCATAAAACTAGATTTCCATATTTAATTTTTGTTGTGTTTAACCCTTATTGCTTCAAAAATCCAAGGGTGTTTATGATAATTAAGTTGTTTTCTATTGAAAATATTTATTAACAGGCCTAGGTGGTAGTCTACATCAGTTTTCTTTCAACTGACTTAAAAATTACCAAAGTGAAGCACTTTTGAAAAATCTGAGTGTTTATTATACATATGTTTAGAGCTGGCTTTAATCTCTGAAAATATTACTGTCCACTTCCATGTGCAGGTCATCTCACCTGTTTTTTTGTTTTCATCGTTGTTGTGAAAATATTCGATGCAGGTTCTACATGGTCAGCTATTACGAGCGGAATCACAGAATAGCAGTGGGAGCGCGCCATGGTTCAGTGGCCCTGTATGACATCCGAACTGGAAAATGTCAGGTAAATAAATCATTGTGACTTCCTCTCCATAAAGTGTGGAAGTTATTGAAAGGAAAGAGAGACTAGCACTTCATCGGTTGACGTGCTGAGCTGCTGGAACATTACGGATAATGCTAAAGGGATCGATAGTTTAATGAAGGACTCAAGGATTATAGAGCCCTACTGTCTTTAGTCACTGGGACTGAAGGGCTCCCCAGATGGGTTCCTAACAGAGTCCAGGGTGGGGTGGAACCACTTACAGATGACTTCATAGTACACTGCTTCTTTTTTCAAACAAAATTTTCTTATTTTTGATATATGTGTCCTGAGGGAAGAAATTAGGATACAATGACTGAACAAAAGTTTAATTTTCTGTGTAAGAAAAATGAGATATCTAGCAATTATAAGACAGTTTGGTCAGAATTCATAAAAAGAGGACATGATCACATTTAATATGTCTCTAAAAAATGTAAATTGATGCCCTATTTGGAATCATAAGATATGCTTTTTTATACTTTTATAACACTTTTTATGCTTTTATAAACCTTTACTATTTATGAAAAATTCTTCTTTTTTTTAATTTTTTATTTTATTCATATGTGCATACAATGTTTGGGTCATTTCTCCCCTCTCCCCTCCCCCCACCCTTATCCCCCCTCCCTTACCTCCCCTTACCCCTGCTACCAGGCAGAAGCTATTCTGCCCTTATCTCTAATTTTGTTGAAGAGAGAATATAAGCAATAATAGGAAGGACCAAGAGTTTTTGTTAGTTGAGATAAGGATAGCTATACAGGGAGTTGACTCACATTGATTTCCTGTGCATGTGTGTTACCTTCTAAATTAATGCTTCTCAAACTAACCTTTTCTCTAGTTCCTGGTCCCCTTCTCCTATTGGCCTCAGTTGCTTTAAAGTATCTGCTTTAGTTTCTCTGCGTTGAGGGCAACAAATGCTATCTAGTTTTTTAGGTGTCTTACCTATCCTCATACCTTCCTTGTGTGCTCTTGCTTTATCATGTGATCAAAGTCCTGTTCCCTTGTTGTGTTTGCCCTTGATCTAATGTCCACATATGAGGGAGAACATACGATTTTTGGTCTTCTGGGCCAGGCTAACCTCACTCAGAATGATGTTCTCCAATTCCATCCATTTACCTGTGAATGATAACATTTCATTCCTCTTCATGGCTGCATAAAATTCCATTGTGTAGAAATACCACATTTTGTTAATCCATTCATCAGTAGTGGGGCATCTTGGCTGTTTCCATAATTTGGCTATTGTGAGTAGTAGTGCTGCAATAAACATGGGTGTGCAGGTGCCTCTGGAGTAACCTGTGTCACAGTTTTTTGGATATATCCCCAAGAGTGGTATTGCTGGATCATAAATATGGTAGGTCAATGTTTAGCTTTTTAAGTAGCCTCCAAATTTTTTTCTAGAGTAGTTGTACTAGTTTACATTCCCACCAGCCGTGTAAGAGGGTTCCTTTTTCCGCGCATCCTCGCCAACACCTGTTGGTGGTGGTGTTGCTGATGATGGCTATTCTAACAGGGGTGAGGTGGAATCTTAGTGTAGTTTTAATTTGCATTTCCTTTATTGCTAGGGACGGTGAGCATTTTTTCCTGTGTTTTTTGGCCATTTGAATTTCTTCTTTTGAGAAAGTTCTGTTTAGTTCACTTGCCCATTTCTTTATTGGTTCATTAGTTTTGGGAGAGTTTAGTTTTTTAAGTTCCCTGTATATTCTGGTTATCAGTCCTTTGTCTGATGTGTAGCTGGCAAATATTTTCTCCCACTCTGTAGGTGGTCTCTTCAATTTAGAGACCATTTCTTTTGTTGAGCAGAAGCTTTTTAGTTTTATGAAGTCTCATTTATCTATGCTATCTCTTAGTTGCTGAGCTGCTGGGGTTCCACTGAGAAAGTTCTTGCCTATACCTATTAATTCCAGAGTATTTCCTACTCTTTCCTGTACCAACTTTAGAGTTTGGGGTCTGATACTAAGATCCTTGATCCATTTTGAGTTAATACTAGCATAGGGTGATAAACATGGATCTAGTTTCAGTTTTTGCAGACTGCTAACCAGTTTTCACAGCAGTTTTTGTTGAAGAGGCTGTCTTTTCTCCATTGTATATTTTAGCGCCTTTGTCAAAGACAAATTGGTTATAGTTGTGTGGCTTCATATCCGGGTCCTCTATTCTGTTCCACTGGTCTTCATATCTGTTTTTGTGCCAGTACCATGCTGTTTTTATTGTTATTGCTTTGTAATATAGTTTGAAGTCAGGTATTGTGATACCTCCAGCATTGTTCTTTTGACTGAGTATTGCCTTGGCTATTCATGGCCTCTTGTGTTTCCATATAAATTTCACGGTAGATTTTTCGATCTCTTTGATGAATGTCATTGGGATTTTGATGGGAATTGCATTAAACATGTAGATTACTTTTGGGAGTATAGACATTTTTACTATGTTGATTCTACCAATCCATGAGCGTGGGAGATCTCTCCACTTTCTATAGTCTTCCTCAATCTCTTTCTTCAGAAGTTTATAGTTGAAAAATTCTTCTTGATGAGGGTTTTGATCACCTGATTCTCAGAATATTTTAGGTGGGTGCACTAGGCAAGTCTAGCTCCACTCGAGATAGAGATATAAGAGATTATTAAATGCAGAACTTTAAATCGTTTTTACCTCAGATTCACCTATTAGCCAATGGTAAAAGCAGGGCTAGGCTTCACCAAGGTCCTGGCAAAATGAAACATATCGAGAAATGGGGTCAAGGCATAGCTTCTTATGTTCCTTGAGAAATAGAGCCAAGCTTCTTATGTTTCTTGGAGAATTTATTAATGCTGATATGTTTGACTATATTGCAGTATTTGAAATTTCCGGAAGGAATATGAAGAAATTCAAAAAGATATGGCCAAAATGCCTCTTAATACTAATAAACCATTAATTAATCCTACAAAAGCTTCCCTGGCAGCTTTCCATGAAGTAGTTGTAAGAGGTTGGGGGGGTAAAAGTTTCAAGGGTCATGCAAGTTTTAGGGGTACTATTTGAAAATTATGCACATTTCTTTGTATAGGCTCTGAGTCTCTCTTGAATGAGTATGCATTGTGTATATTTGCACAGATATTCACCACTCACCATAATTATTTAACTGCTGAAATATTGGCATGTGTGCTCCCCACACACGCTGTGAACATATTCCTTTCTTCTGGCCTGTCACCGAGCCCACTCTCTGAAAGCTTGTTCAAAAATTAAATTACATGTTATTTTTGATAGTCTTTCAAAAGAGAGACAGTCTTCAAATAGCATTTTCAGAACCTCTTTTGTAAGACCAATTTTTTTAAAACAAAATATTTGTAGATACCTATTGGGTACTGTGTGGTATTTTGATACATGTTATATTGTGTGGTGTTTAAATCAGTTTTAACATATCTATTTCTCTTTAAACATTGACTACTTTTTTTGGCAGTACTGGGAATTGAACTCAGGGCCTTATGCTTGCTAGGGAAGTGGTCTACCACTTGCGCCATGCCCTTTCCTTTTGCTTTTACTTTGTTTTTGAGATAGGGTAACAAGAACTCTTCCTCCACAGGACTGTGGAGAATCTACAGGATCCAAACCATGATCCTCCTACCTCCCCCTGCTGAGTAGCTGGGGTTTCAGGAACGCACCACCACGCCCAGCCCCACTGATCATTTCTTTATGGTGAAAATATTCACAATCTTTTCCTCTAGCTTTTTGAAATGTACAGTACATTATTGTTATCTGTATTCATCCTCCTGTGCAATAGCACACCGTAGCTTTTTTACTCATCTCTCATGGTAACTTATTACACATTGATCAACCTTTTCCTTCCTCCTTCTTTGAATCACTGGTAATCAGACAGTTTTAAAAAGAAAATTATAATATGTCACTATATTGCAGTCTTGAGAATATAAACCAGGAACATCTACAAGGTAAAGGCGAGAGAGAGAGAGAGACCTTGTTAAGTTCTTTCTAAAAATGAAGTGAGAAAATCCTGTGTCAGGGAAGACCCAGTTGCCATCAGCAGAGAAATGAGACAGTGTGAGAACAGTGAGCTAACCCAAAGATGAGTGAAGGAAGAACACAATTATGTATTAATGAGAAAGAACCAAATTGTTCTTAAGTTATATTTCTTTCAGTTTTCTTCTAAGTAGTCTCAGTGATGATCTTGGTAACATTCAAAAGTAATGTTTTGAATATGTTGTTCTTTTAAATTGAAGTACTTGAGATATACTTATAAAAGGCATCTTTCTTAAAAGGAATTATGATCCATTCATATTCCATCTCATTCTCTATACATTATTTTAGTACAGTTAGACATTTACTATCCCCATGACTTTTTTCTACCTCATCTTCTTGACTTTGGTACCCAAAACTATCATTATTGTCAAAGAAGTAACATTCCTTCACCTTCTAGTGCTGTGTGAAAGGGAAATGTACATTCAGGTCATGAATAAAAAGTTAAATCTCTAAAATAAATCTGAACTACTCTTGCCAGTTACCATTTATGTCCAGTGAACTTTTAAGAGAGTCTCTTTATTTTTTTACTAGCACTGTAATATTCAAAAGAATGAGTCAACAGCTGAAACAGAATATACAAACATAGATCGCATGCTTAGAATTAATGTTTTAGAGGGTGAATTAGAGGAACATTTTGAAGTAGAACAAAGTGAAACAGTTCTTGAAGAATCTCTTGGAATCAGTTATAGTGAGAGTAAAGTAATTTTTCTAACATGAGCAAAGATAGACATGTGACATAAATATATAGAAAATTCACTTAGCTAGAAGGAAAGAGTCCCAATGCGGGGAAAATATAAAGCATAATCACCTAGAGTGGGAGAGGCACAACTGAAAAGGACACCAGAGGCTGAGCAGTCCCAAAACCCAATAGGGTCAGAGAACCCACAACTGAGGGACTGAGGCATCATTTATATCCCCTGCCCTTGTTATTATGTTGGTTGGTAAAGAATAAAAGAATATTAAGACTCTTTCTCACTGTTTGCCATTGG